CAAAATTTTTTTGGAATATCGGGACGGATCGGGATTGATCCTTCATGCCCAAATCCAAGTCATACGAAGCCAAATTGCACCATCACTCTGCAATTCAAAACAAAATTAAAATAAAATTTCTGTAAAAAGCTCAAAATGATCAAACAAACAGATCCCATAACAAAATTCAAATCAAATAAAGAATTAGATTACAACCCATTATTATTATTATTATTGAGAAAATACTATAACCTATTAAAAAAACCACATAATTAATCATGAAGACCTGAAATGATGGTTTTTGCTCCGATGCGGCGATGGTAGGTGGGCGAAGCTTGTAGCGAGGAACAAAGGATTTGGGTTGAGCAGAGACGGCATAGATGAAAGAAGAGCTATTTTGGGGTTTTGGGAATTGAAAAGATACAGAGGAGGAAGAAGAGAGGGAAGCAAGGGCAACAGCGGCTGGACATGAACAGGCAGCTGTTATGGCAATAGTCGTAGCCAATGACCTTAGAAATGTAGAGGCAGAGGAGAGAACAGAGGCGAAGAAGTGAGAACTCGAGAGAGATGAGAGGGTTGAGGCTTCAGTGAGAAATGTGAGAGAGTGAGAGTGTGAAACCCTATAACTTAGATTGGACGGTTGAGATTAAATCTTAACCAATCCAACAGTCCAGATAGTTTATAATTTCTAATTTAAATTAAATACATATTATATATTAATATAGTTGTTCGGTTCGGGATTACCGAACTAATGGTTTATTGAAACCGAATCCCATACCGAAAGTTTCAAACTATTTCGGTTCGGGCTACCGAAGTTTCAGGATTTTTGGGTCGGGTTTGGGAAATTTCGGATCGGGTTCGGGAAATTCGGTTTTTTTTCAACCCTAACAATAACTCTACGCCATGTGGCAATAGAGGCCCACTTGAATATTAAAAAAAAAAAAAAAACCTCCCTGCCCGTCTCCTACATTCCTCCCTCCTTTCCTCTGCAACCCGCAACACCCTCCCTTCCATTTCTCCTCTGCAACCCACACCCACCTTCCCTTCTCTCCTCTACAACCTGCACCCAACCTCCCTTCTCTCGTCTGCAATCACACCCACCCAGTCACACCTGCAAATTTCATGTTTTAATGGCGATGGAAAGTCTGCTGGTCCAAGGTCTGGAGCAAAAACTCCAATTGGATCGGGAATTGGTTTAGACAGATTTATGTGAGACATGAATCTACAAATTCAAAGTCACTTATTATGCTATCACTTATTATGCTAGTATTTTTCTTTTTATAAACTGTGGGGTTAGTATCTTGATAATTGTTTTATTAGATATATATATCAACTTGGTCCACTCACCTTTGTTTTGCGCCCCCATTCAGGTCTTAGAATCGAGGCATACAATCCCGGTGTCAAGGCACTTCCGCAGCGGTATCTTCGAGTCCTCTTGGTGTATGACCTACTCCTTTGTTCATTTAATTTTATATTATTTCTTTTAGTTTTCTAGTTAGTTGTATGCTTTGAACACGTTCCTTAAATGCATATTCATTATTCTTTTATATTTCTAAGTCTTATCTATTCCTTTTTTTTTTTTTTTTTTTTTTTTTTACTTTTGCACTCAATAAATGGCTTTCGTCACCTTTGGGTGTCGGCCAGCACATGCCTATCCTAATATTCAGGGAATATCAGGATCGGGACGTGTCATTAAGAACTATCGGGAGGAAAGTCTAAGACATACCTGTAGGAATTACCCACCCACAAAGGGATTGCAATTCATTTAGTTTCATCTTCCCACGTGAACATCTCGCTTCTTTTATGATGTTATGTTTGAGAATAGTATGAATGGCGAGAGTAGCAGTTTTTCAATTCTCCATTGAAAACGTGTTTCATATTTCTGAGAGTGGGAGAGTGGGAATGTAAGGGGATAACTGCCCTGCAGTCTCATACTCCTGTTAAATTGCTCTTAGTTGTGTTAGTTTCTTTTTTATTTTCTCTATTTTTAATTGATTTTTTTTATATAAACTGCCGATTTTTGTTTTGATTAAAATGTTGTTTTTAGGACCTTAAAAGAAAAGGACTTGGATTCTCTGCCCTCCCATTTCGGTGCCATCCTCGTGCCCTCCTGTTTTGTGTGGTCACGGTTAATCCATGCTAACATTTTATATTGTTTTTTATAAAAATAATAAGACAAAAAAAAATAGTAATATAAAATATTGACGTGGCTTAACCGTGACCACACAAACAGGAGGGCACGGGCAGGGCACCGAATTGGGAGGGCAGAGAATCCAAGTCCAAAAGAAAATGAGGAACTGGACGCACTTTTTTTCTTTGTTTTGCTTTTTAAACCGTAAAACTGCTAAATTTTAGAGGGTAACTATCTAACAGGATCCTCTTCAGATTCTCTTTGTGAGGATCATGATAATCCGTGAATCATGTTCGTTCATCGTATATCATGCGGTTAGTTTATATCAAGTACTATTTATGTTTAATTTTAAATAAATAAATTTAATATAATTTCTGACCGTACAATATACGATGTACGACGAATGGACACAATTAACAGAACTCCGGGATCCTCACAAAGAGAATCCGGATTCAATAACTATAATGCTTTTGTTTTTTTTTTTAATTTATTCTTTTCCAATTCAGTTTTTTTTACCAATTGTCCTGGTTTTTTTGAACTTTTGAAGGTTTAATTGTGAAGAAAACAAAAGGGCTTTCTTGACATTTTATAAAATGCTTCATCTATTTGACCTTCTCCCTCTCTCTCTATATATATATATATATAAAAAGGGTTTAGCACTCTCGCTCTCCAATATATAAAAAAATTTGAAAAAATAAAAAACCACTTTCTAGAACCCACTCGTTCTCCAATCCATCCATCACCCTTTCAATGTTCTTTCGTTTTAGCACTCTCGCTCTCCACGTCTGCTCTCTGTCTTCCTCTGCTCTCTTTCTCTCCACGTCTAGTTCTGTTTAATTTGTGATTTTATAGTTGTTTTTAGCTGGCTTTGATAAATCCGACGGCCAGAATTTTTTGATCCGACGTTTTGACTCTCCGCCCCAACATCTCACGGAGCCACCATCTGGGTTTTTCCAAACCACCTCAGATCTATTTTATTTTCTTTTCGATTTGAGTTCATATGTTTTGAGATCTGAACCGCATATTTTCAGATGTCGCGTGGGTCTTCATAGATTAGAGTTCTGAATTTTTGTTTTTGTTGTTGTTGTTGTTGTTTATAGTGGGATTAGACAACCAATGAGAAGGGTGTTCACTAGCTAGAATTCTACTTGCTTAAATTATGTTTTTGTTTGATATTTAGTATGAAAATGGCCATAATCATTAAAAACAAACGATGAGTTACGCATATATGAGTTATCTCGAGACATAACTGATTATAAATGGGTTATATATATATATATATATATGTATGTATATGTGTGTGTGTGTGTGATTGAATTGAACGGGCTTATGTTTAATATATGTGATTAAACGTGTTAAAGTATTAGAGTGTTCGAAAGTTTTGTTTTAGAGTATTTTTTAGATTTGAATCATCTAGTATTCAAGATAATGATTACTTTGAGTTTTTAAAAGGGATGAGGTTCCCATTCGGATCCAAATGGGGATATGTGGATCCTTACATTTTACTCGTTTATCGTATATCGTACAGTCAGTTTTCGTTAGGTATTATTAGTGTTTAATTTTAAATAATAAAATTCAAATAATTTTTATCGTACGATTTACGATGAACGGTTAAGATGTGAGAATCATTGGGATGTGCATTGTTATATGTGTTCTCATTATGCTTTTCATTCTCTATTATATATATATATATATATATATGTATTTATAATATATATGTGTGCTAAGAATGATTATTGATTAATAATCTTCTTTTTTATAATATAATATATGTGTACACCCAGTGTATATTAGGGGTGGGTTCGGTTCAAATCGGTTCGGTTTTTTGTTCAATTTTTTTTCTGTTTTTTTCGGTTCGGTTTCGGTTTTTTTTCAAAAAATGAAAAAAAATTTGAAATCTTAAATTTTAACATATCTAACACAATCATAATATAAATATTTCGACTAGATTTAAAGATAATGAAAATAAACATTTAAAGTTCAACTAGAATTATAACATAAAGGTTTTTTTAAAATATTTTGGGTTTAAAGTTTAACTGTAAATAGATTTTTTTTTAGACGATGATGATGGAGTACGACTGTAAATAGATTTCTTTTTAGACGATGATGATGGAGTACGACCTTATTCATATATGTGGTTACATAATATAATATCTACATTCTGTGTTTAGCTTCTACCACCAGCAAATTTTGAAGAGGTGTTCATCAATATTTTTGAATATATTGATATGCTTTTCAAAATTGTTAGGCCACGGAAGCTACTATACTTGGCCATAGGTGAGAAAGTTTGAATTTTGTTTTTGATCTCGTAGTGTTTAATAAACTCATGAGACTTTTATATACTGTTTGCTTTCCTTAATCAACTACAGTGCAATTGAGATATGTGTTCTTATATATGTGTTGCACTTAATGATATAAACTAGAAATATTGCATGTAATGGTATAAGTTCTAATTTTTGTTGTAGATGGAGAAGCTGAGAAGACAAATTTGAATTGGAAAGCAAACAAGTCCTACCAAAGCAGCAGTTCGAAGTATCATATTCTAATACAATAAAATCAAATAATTAAAAAAATAAAATTAAAAAAATATTAATTTAATTATTTCGGTTCGGTTTGGTTTGGTTCGGTTTCTAGACCATCAAAACCGAATCGAACCAAAAGATTTCGATTCGATTTTTTCAATTCGGTTCGGTTTTTTCGGTTTCAGTGCAGTTCGATTTTCAGTTTTTTTCGGTTCGATTTTTTGAACCCACCCCTAGTGTATAAAAAAGGTCGTACCCAGTGCACAAGGCTTCCGCTTTACGCAGGGTCTGGAAGAGGTGAATGTCAGCTAGCCTTACCCCCATTTATGGAGAGGCTGCTCCCAAGTCTCGAACCCGAGACCTACCGCTCATGGGCGAAGACACTTGCCATCGCACCAAGTGTATATATTAAAAAATTTAGGTTCTATGAGGCTTTGCCTCACGCTTAAGCTAGGCTATCCCTCAAACGCCTTACCCACGTTTTACGCTTTTAATATACATATATATATATATATATATTAATTTAATTGACCTTGAGTTTTTAATAAATATTTGACCCAAAAATTAGAAACCCATTAAATGGCATGGATATAAATCCAAATATTTATCAAGTTAGCTTATTAGCTAACTGATATGTAGAAGAATATTAATTAACCTACAACCATGCATGATTCTTGTAAGGGAAATTTTATTTGAACCCATATAATCTCACTCTACACTCAACTTAAATTTTAAATGTGAATTACTTTTTTTATCATATTGAATAATTACCATCAAGTACAAGATGAAATTAATAATAATAATAAAATTTATCAGTAAACCCACACTCAATAATCAAACTCTATCATCACTCAATCTTTATTATACGTTCATTCTGACCGACACTCAATAATCAAACTCTATCATTACTCAATCTTTATCATATGTTCACTGTAACTGATGGATGATGATTTTGAAGTTCTAAATCCTCCAACTAAGATATAAACCGATTATGTAAGGTTTTTTTTCTTTTGATTTTAATTTTTTTAGAGTTTAAAAGTATAATGCTTGCAAAGAAGGTCTTTATTAGCCCGTGAGTAAATTTCTCTATAAAACTCATTAACTCTTCCGAAAAGGCATTGGGAATTCAATAAGGCCACCGATTGAAACATAAAAATAATGAAGCTAAAACACTAGTAAATAGCTTGGCATGTACATAACAAAAACATAGAAGGTAAAAACAACTAAAGTGAAGAAATGTACGTTTTGAAGTTCTTTAAAGCAGCAGTGTCATCCATCAACCAATGCGAAAAGATTCATCTCCAGAAAAGTGAAGACCAAATCCGGAACACAATGATAATTAACAAAATTGTTCTTACCTCTAACAACTTGAAATACAGCAAATATGGCTTTGATAAAGTCCTCGAGTTCTGCTTTGATATATATTCAAGAATAATAATTGTCAATGATTTCCAATTTAAACCAATGAACATGAACTCAACAAATAGCAGCTCAGTCATGCATTAAGCAAATATGGTTTTTCCGTAGCACTAAAACAAAAGAAGATTGGGACATTGATGATAATGAATATCATCTGTCCTATATAGATGAGAACAATGTATATCATTATGACTATATTTTCGACTCTAGCGAGAAAAAAGAGAAGAGCATCACCACCTTGCATGGGCACTTTCTTCATGAGAAATATTGGAGTAGCAAGTTTGCACATTTAAGAATCAAATATGAAAATAGTTTCAAAAACAAAGTTGTCTCCAATTGATTTTGGGTTTATTTTCTATATAGGTGTAAAGATAAATTCACATATTGAATTGAGTTTGTGAGAGTCGTTTAGACAACAAATTTGTTTTTAAAAAGATATTGAGTTTAATTGAGAATAATATGGGTGTAGAGAATAAGTTAGGTGTAGAAAGAGCATATCATGAAATACAGCATATCATGAAATAGAAACAGTACACCAAAAAAATATATGGTATGATTGTTGACCGTTGACACACTTTACCTTCACTTGAGGTAGAAGAAATAACTTTATAAGCTCTTCTGGTTAGTAGTGGCAATCCTCAGGAAGTTTTGTTTTACAGGGTGCTCCACTTGCAGGGAGCAGTAAGGATTTTGGATTTTTGGGAGTAGCAAAAACATCTGAGAACTCTCTTCCAAGGATTTTGTGAAATCAAGATCCTGCTGTGCTTTGGTCTTCTTTTGTTTAACCGTTACCGGTTGTTCTGCAGGACAGTCGTTCTCTGAAACTGAAAAAACAGATTATGTGATGTGTTACCATACTATTGACCCACAAGAGATACACATACACATATTAGTTGATGACATGATCACTGAACCTGACCTTTAATTTTTCGATGCCTCCAATGATCAGGACCTACCAACGCATTTTGTTTTGAAGTAAATCCAAGACTTAAGATAAAAAACCCATCAACTTTCTCAAGTCTCTCATCCATATCAAGCTCATGGAATGAAGTCATTCATCAATTATTCATAAAACTAAAATGAAAAACCAATGGAACGAATATTTACGATTCAAACTTAATATGAATAGTATGTTTGAAAAACCTCATGATAACTAGGGAAATTTGAACTTTCACAGTTGAGGTCATCATGATCATAATCCCAGTTCCCGCAATTCTCAGATACATCACAATCAAAATCAGCTTCATTGTTAAAGGCAGCATCAAGTTGCTCTGCTCATTCATGATCACATGTATAGATATCTGGTGGCCTTCTGTTATCCTCATCAAATCGATCAACTAAACTCCAGAATTGGTGAAATTTCATCATTGATTTCGCATGTTCAATACCATCTGTTCTACATATTCTATAAAAGATCAAGAAAAAGTTAATCTTAGTAAACCACATCATTCTCATTTGGAAAAAAATGGGAAGATGAGATTTCGAAGATCTCAATAGAATACCGAAAACGCAACTCACCACCAGCAAAAGAAAGATCAATGGTATCTGATTTATCAAGTCAATTATCAGGTGCTATGCACTTCCCTGGTACTTCCGAAGAGTGAAAGAGCACTCTGCATCCACCATATACTCCAAGATTATTCATTAAAAGACCCTTGGCCCCACCTTCATCAAATTGTTCAGAAGTCTGATGATAGAGGGAATCAACTGCAAATGCAACTGAAAATACAAACAAAATTGTATCACAAACTTGGCCTCGCATCGCACAATATAAAACTAGTATTAAGGACGGCACAGGATGAGTGATCACTGTCAAACTTTTTTAAAATTTAGAGCCTCCAAAAGATGATTCCAGCGTTGATGAGGGAGATATCTGCATGTATGGATTTATGTCAGCATTTAGTATACGGGAGTTCAATAAATCACTGTAGTGAGTCAGAATAGTCAACCTTCTTCTGCGTCTCATTCTTGAACTAGCCACATCTTTTCCATTGTCAGCATTGGCATCCTCTACTCTGGTATCTAAAATTACAAAAGTATCAAGATACTAACAAGATCAATGGAGCACAAGTCCAATGTGAAAGAAATTACTATTACAATTTACAGATGAGCTGCTTAAAGATAACTATGCCACATAGTCATAATTCCGATAAACCATACAAAAATCACATTGCTTCTTCCAGGAAAGGTAATTGATTGTATGTTCTCTAATTCATTGTATAGGTTATAAATGCAAAGGTTAATACAGCAAAACTATCGATTTTATCTAACTTGAAGTGGTATAATCACTAATATGCCAAGAACGCAACTTTCACAAAATTTACTTTGTCCGCAGGTTAGAAAATTGTTCTGAATCAAGTACAGAACCACTTTTAAAATCAATGTACTTATTTTTGTCATGCAAGTGAATACACTTCAGTAAAAAACGAACAGGCAAAGTTATAGCCGATAGCAAACCCAACCTTGTTCGGATTCTTGACCTACTCTATTCATCCCACCAAGGACCTTATATGCCTCGGTGTGTACTGAATCCACCCTCATTGAGTAAATTTTGACTCCACCTTCAAGAGTGCAGCTTGCCTGCACATATAGAGAAGTGATACATATTTAAGCAAACATAGCATATCCAATCGAATATGTGAACTTTCGGCCACTCACTTCAAAAGTGGTTTTACCAAAATCTTGGTCTTGAAGGATTTTAAACTCCAAAACTTATCCGAAACATCGTAGTATCAATAGGCGGAATTTACCTTTTGAAAATTCGGCTCTGCATCCTTTTCCTCTTCAACGCTGATAATGTCAGTTAAATGGTCAATCAAAGTCAGCTCCCATGTATTTTTCTGCGCACCCAACAGATCGAACATTTAAGAAAATTTTCACAACAAACATCAATATCTAATACAGTAAAAATGGCTCACTCATTGGACAAATAAAATACTAAAAAAATTGAAACTTTATGTTAAAAAAATTAATTTCAAAACTTTCAATTACTTGAAAAATCTAAACTGACATTTTCACTGGCGAGTTTGATGCAATTCTGGAACAGCTCGAGGATCTGCGCCTCTCCGAGGCCGTGATTGGGGTCTCCCCGTTGTGGCAGCAGATTGAGTGTAACGGACTTCCTTTGAATCGCGGCGGCGGGTGCTGCGCGAGCCTGCGCACGCTCGCGGTTGTCGTCGTTGGAGCCGAGGAAGAAGGGGCTGGTTGGAGACTGGAGACGAGCGACCATTGGGAGCCTCCGCTTCTGGGTTGCCGGATTAGGGCTCAGAGTGTCAGCCATTGCAATTGGGAAATTAGATTTGGGAAAGCTTATGAGGATGGATAATGATGGGACGAACATGTTTCCCTCCATTTGATTTGTTTGAAATTTGGATGGTGAAGTGCGGATGTAATCCTTCAACTATCACTAGTAAAAATTAGATCTCTGAATTATATTTTTGGTAGAATAAGTTCCTAAATTCATTAAAATTTGCTAAATTCATCTCTACTATTATATTGAAAGCTATTTTATCCAATTTTTCATCAACTTAAGGCACTTGACACAATTAAAGTGTAATACCGTTATTTTCTCGCCTACAAGCCCTTAACATTTCATATAGGTTGCATATCTAATGTTTAATTTACCCTCCAAAGTTAAGTTCATACACTATATGTAAAATTACCAATATACCCTTCAATATGTATTACATGCAAGCAACGTGACTTAAATTAATGGAGATATTTACTTTTCAAGGATTGATTTTATTGAAAAAATAATTTAGGGACCTAATTTTTCACTCAAATGATAATTTAGGGACTAAATTGACAATTTACCCAAAAGTATAATACGTTGCTACTCATGCATATGATATAAACATCCATTTTCTTTTGTTGACCAATATATGACCGTCAATTTTACATTTGTGTGTTGGGAGCTGCCAAGCTAGCATTTCAAAAAAATCATCATTCATTCTAACCAGCATCAGAATGCATATAAATAATTACTTTTTGCACTGCAGTAAAATGTCACAAGCAAAATAAGAAGGGATGCAATGAAGACTAAATGTTCAAACACGTACATTAATGTCTTTCCATTACAACCATGGTGGATTTGGCTTTATTATACAGGATCCAAACAACTTTTCGTTACAAACTTAAAAAAAAAATTATAGCTATCCAAAACTAATAAGCATCATTTATAATAACATTAACACGAGGCCGAGTATTTAGGGTCTTTATTAGGCCAATCTTTTATTTTCCTGTCAAACACGCCAGCTCCATAAGTAGAAATGACTAACTCAAGAAGGAGGGGAAATTGCATCCACATGAAAGATGCAACTGGAACACTTGCAAGCAAAGTAAGTAGAATAGCAATAGATGATTTTCCATGAAGCATAATGGAAAGGGCTGAAGAAAAAGCTATCATCATTGCCGCAATAGATAAAAAAAGGGTGATAAGGCCTAATATCATTTTTGTTGGCAATGATTTGAGGAAATCATCTTCCGCATAACGCGATGTGAGGATTCCCAAAAATATCATTACTGAAGTTGTGGAAGAAAAGAGTGATATAGCATCTGAAACTATAAAAGTTTTGAATGCCCTCTTACTTAAGAATATAGGAAGACCTGTATCTTGATTATTTCCACCAGGAACTGTAAATGCTGCAGCAAACGTGATAGTAACGATGAGAGCCCCTACGACTGTACAAGATGTTGCGGTTCCTTTCATTGCCTTTTCACCCGCTTTCACCATTTCCTCGTGACCCTTGGTAAATAATTCACGTGGTGTCATCTTATCTGTATCACTAATTGCATCAAAAGCTGAGGCAATTGACATATGCTTCACCTCCTGCATGTCATTCAACAAAAACTTAGAAGGGATGTGACTACATACATCCGAATTCTGATCTCTTGGTACAAATTCATTCAAGTTATAATGGAATGGACCACAAATATAAAGAGGAGTCAAGTTATGATGGAATGGACCACAAATATAAAATAGTTTCTGATTTCCTCATAAATTTCAATTATATAGAAGAGAGAAGACGGTGGATAAGAGAAGGGACCCCGCCGGGGGGGGGTGTGGTTCAATCATCAATTTTCACGAATATGATTAAATAGTCTATAATTAATTGTATAGATAAGTAGTCACCTCAAACCACTGTAGTTCTCTTTGCATTTGCAAAGCTGCACCACGAATATGATTAATCCGTGCAGCGGAGGAAATAGTTCCTACAACATGCATTAGATTATTCTTCGACTTATCTGCCATACATGCAAACGTTCTTTGGAAGTTTTGATTATATATTCCATATAATAGACTAAAAACTTTATGTTGACGACATTCAGCGGCAACTTGAAAGATAAACCGGCCTTTTTCATTAGTGACGAACATGAGACTAGTATTTGCTCTGCATAAATGAGTAATATACTCTACATGCCCTTTTTTTACTGCTAGGAACATTGCTTTTTTCAAGCCTTGCAATTCTTTGACATCTTTATTTTCCGTCACTTCACACATGCGAGGTAGGAATTGAAGGATCCGAGAATGGGCCTGTCTCATTTGATATATACCATTGAATCCTATGTTGACATTCAAAAAAGATTAAACAATATACCATTAATATTGTATAAACAATTAGAAAATAATTGAAAATAAAAAAACTAAAATTAGATTAATTAAAATTTATTAAGTCAATAAATAGGAAAAGAAAAAGAAAGTGATTTTCAATTATTTATAGGCATTAGATTGAATAAAACAAACATAATCAACGACCAGATTAAATAAAGGTGTGTAAGAAGCTATAATAAGAGGCTAAAACAATGTGTAAAAATCAATTTCCAAAGATAATCAATTCACAATGTAGCGTACCCAAAAGTTTGTCCAAAGTCTTGACAACTAGTCCACGAAATAAACTTGTATCTGCATTGACATTCCAAATTGTCAGCAAAATCTTCAATGAATATGTTACCAATTAGTTATATTCCGTTTAACCACATAATATGGCATAATGATAATGTGGTACAAAAATATGGTCTTCTAAGCATTACTTAATATGGTACAAAAATGCTGTGAGTTCCTCCGAAATCAAAATCAATAATGCGTAAATAGCCTCCTCGTGCCTACACATTTTTACTGTTGTTAGAGGTAAGTCTTTTTGAAATCAAAATCAAAGCCGTCTTGATCTCCTCCGCCGCATACGATTTCTGCAGTTCTATATTCATCTCTGGAGTTACCTTCGAAGAAACGGAGTCAGTCACCTCCCTTAGGGCATTCGAAAGAGAACCTTGGGAGAGAGAGATTATAGGGATCTTTTAATGTAGACCTCGTCAAAGGTGCAAAATATGATAAAATTCAATTTTTGAATTTCTAATGTTTATGCTCACTATGACCCTAAATTTTTTTTGCTTAACAAATGATATTTTTTTACACTAAATGGGATGGAGTGAGTTTAAGCTCACAATGTGCTAGTAATAATGTAGTTCAACACTTATCGAACCTAAGACATCTCACTTACAAATGAAAGGAATACTACTAAATCGTAGTAATAGTGGCTCACTATGACCCTAAATTAAATTAAAAGAATTAATCGAGTCCCTAGTTTACGCATTGTTTTTGTTTTAATTTGAGTTTTTAGTTTTGACTCATTGCTTTGTAACCATAAAGCACCTGCAATCACCTCAATGCACATCTGTCAAAGTTTACAAGCATATATATATATGTGATATGGTTATGGGATTTTTGAATTTTAATTTTTGAAGAAGATTTAAATTTAATAAAAATTTGGTGACAGATTGGATATTATTTTAGTCTTTTAATGTGTATTTAATTTAATATTATATTTTATTTTTGTTTTAATATTTAATAGATATCTTATTTAATGTCATTTCATTAAATTTTAAATTTATTATTATACACATTGTAATTCATTAATTTTATTTAATTTCCTCTAATTAGTGTACCTAATCGTCCGTATCATAATATATTTTACTAAATTAGTGCATCGAAATGTCCGTGTGTACCAAAAATTTCCTACCTAAATACATGATACTAAACTAGTGTACTGAAATGTTGGTACCTAAATATATTATACTAAACTAATGTACTGAAATGTCCGTATTTAAATATATTATACTAACCTAGTGTACCGAAATGTTCGTACCTAAATATACTAATTAATTAGTGGCACATAAGAAAATATGCAAAAACATAAGTCTAATGAAAAATCTCTATGAAAATATTTTCTTATATAAGATACTTACTATAATGAGAATTAAAATTTATGATATTTTCATAAAATTTAATTTATGAACACCATAAAATTATTAATAAAAAAAGAGAGACATTGAATACATATGCTAACATTAAATAGAATAAGGACTAAAATCAATGTTTAACCTTGTATAAGTCATTTTTCTAAACTTCATCTTATTCAAGGATTAAAATCTAGTTTCTATATAATTATTTACCTATGACGTACGGATTAAATTTTATCTATCTATGACGAAAAGAGAAAAAATTATAACTACGACGGAGATAAACAATTATCTAATAGTTAACTATGAAGAAGATTAACATCATTATATATAGCACTTTTGTACCAATTGCAATGAAAGAAAAAGAAGAAGAATTGGATCCTATTAAGTAATAGGTTGCAATGAGTAAAAATATAAGAAAAGCCCGCCATCATTTGAACCAAGTTAAAAGAGGAAGCATCCAAATGCATATATAATATAGATCAAGTTAAATAAAAAGGGAAAATAAAAGGGAATTTTATTGAAAAACTCATGGTATTGTTCATTTTAACGAAAAACCACATTTTTACACTAAAAAGTCAATCATGGTACTATTCACCTTACCTTTTATTTTGTCCTAATCATTAAAATTCAAAGTTTCATACTCTTTTTATTAGTTTTCCTAAAATAAAAATGATATCTATGGAGCCAATATGGAGATTGACCTTGCCAATTTGCTTAAAAAGGGAAAATAAGAGTGAATATTCAAATAATTTAAAGGGAGTTTTAACGAAAAGCCCGCGGTACTGTTCATTTTAACAAAAAACCACATTTTTACACTAAAGAGTCAAATCTGATACTATTCACTTTACCCTTTATTTTGTCCTTATCGTTAAAACTCAAAGTTTTCAAGCCATTTTCATTAATTTTCCTTAATTTAAAGTTGTTTTTTATGTATCTTCCAGTGATAGATGTACTATACTTTAATTAAAAAAATGATAGAAGAACAATATATATATATATATAGTTGCGGTACCTTAATTTATGAAACAGCTAATTAAACACTAACAAAAACAAATGGCACGTGTGTCATGTAACATACGTACCTGAGCAAATGAGATGCCTTTGCATTTGATTACTTTGGTCGCCATTTTCCGGTTTTTGAACGTTTATACAAACATCATCAGTGGTTTCAATGGTAGGCATTGGTTTTATTTTTATGCCTATCAAGAAAAGAACACAAGCCCACTTATATGTTAATACGATACGATATATAAACTAGTTCCTTGAAGCAAGATTTTTCTATTGCTGTGTCTAATAAGAATAAAAGAAAATAGAAAGCTCAATTAGGACAATTTAAAACAAAGAGAAAATGAAAGCTTTACTAACTGTCATAAATCCATTGTTCCCAGAAATTCAGCGAGCTTCCACTTAAGAATGCAGAACTCAAACCAGCTAGTTCATTTAAGGGTATTTCCCCATAGTAGCTTTTCGCAATGGCTAAATTTGGGTTGCGCTGAATTAAATCCCACGCAATATCTACATATTGCGGAGTGAAAGAAGAATAACATTGTTTAGAAATAATCTCTATATATCTAGTTATAAAAGTTAGTTTAATCTCAACATATTTAATATACATCGGTTTTATAGTATTTATAGAAGGAAAAAAAAATTAAGGCGCCACTAATAATAATTATCATTTGAATGTTGATCTTACCAAATCTTTTTAACCTAAAACCGTGGATAATAAGTGTAGCGCAATCGGAATCGTTCAAGGTTTCGTACGGAGTGGCAGAATAAAGGTATCGAGCCATTTTCTCTCCTCCTTCATAAAGCTGAGCCTCGAGAAGTGGGGTGTTTTTGCCGGTCATAAGTGGGTCGGTTTTCTCGGGAGGAAAGACAATACTGAGTAACTTCTTGTTCTTTTCAACCATGCATTTTGCTAGTTCGACGCTTTCTGGAATACCGCATATAACCAAATGAAGAGCGGTAAGACCAAAATTGTCTTTTATTTCCAAGTCTTTTGGTGTCATTAAGTGCACCAATTCTTTTGCAATGTCCACCTTCTTAGAAACGACTGCCCAGTGAAGAATTGTCCCATCGGTCTCATGTCCTGCAGTTACTGCCTTGGGATGTCGCTTAAGAAGCTCCATTGCAGCATCCCAATCTTCCTTCTTCACCAAATTGAGCAAAGTTTGATTAACGTGGTTGTCTTCGTGTCCTGCCAAGCTAGCTAACGTTACATATATATCCCCATAAATAATGTACGTAACATATAGTTGTTTCCTTGATCACCAAAAGAAAAACATATAGACTATATACTTGTTGCGGATTTTTCTTATTCTTCGTAATTTTATTGTATATATGCATATATATATATATATATATATAGAGAGAGAGAGAGAGAGAGAGAGAGAGAGAGAGAGAGAGAGAGAGTACTTTAATTTGTTCTATTTTACTATTGAATACCAGCTCCTTTTTCTTTGTAAATTGCAACTATTAATATGAATTCAAAATCGATAGCATTATGCATTTTAGTTTTCTCCTTGTAAGAAGCAAAATAAACGATTATTTTAAATGCAAATAACAATGTAAATTTTGAAAAGAGTTTAATTAATAAATATTGAACAGAAATCTGTGTGAGAATCGAGACATAATACCTTCAAGGGGCAATTCTTCTATGACATCATTCTTTGGCTCTGCCTCAGCAGTGATTGAGTTGCTATTTGTGTGATCGTTGGATATCTCCTCTGAAAAATAGAATCATTTATGTTTATATCACATCATTTTCTATTGAGAAATATATTTCTCCCTTTTCCTTTCTTATTTTTGCTGTTGTTTAAATTGAAATATTCTATTAAGTATAGATCTGATCCAATTGAAAGGAACCAGGCCGAAACCAAAACTGACACTACTCACACAACTTGACGTCTCTCTCAACCAAAAAAATGTCAAATATTAGTGGCTTTTCCTTTTGGAAGGCCAAATAAACTGGGCTCACCACACTTTGTATACAGTACAAAAAGGCAAAGAGGTATGTTTGGCACCTCAAAGTTGAGGAGTTCTTTATAAAGGGAGCTTCGTGATTTTTACAGAATTTCGTGTTTATAATAAAAATCGTTTAAATTATAAATTACTCAATAAAAATCATCTATGTAGAAAATCAATTAATTTTAAAGTTGTTTAGTCAATCAACTGTAGCAAATAGATATAAATGGTTTGTAATGCTTGTATTGAATCTAACCATCTATTTGTGTACAGTTCAATGACTAAATGATCTCATATTTTATTGATTTTACAAAAATGATATTTACAGAGTGATTTATAACGTTAACAATTTTGATCATAAACATAAAATTCTGTAAATCGGTCACGAAGTATTTTGAGAATGCACTTCTTCTCATCCTGTGAGGATCCAAGTTAATACCAAAGACAAATGCCTAATTATATCGAAAGGGCGAAGATGCACATACCGGTTCTTGTGGCTTGGGTTGCTTTAGCTGGTTTCAGCGTTTCTTTCAAAATTTCCCAAGCATCTTTGGCTGTTCTGTCGCCCATAATAAAAGAAAATGTTTCGACCCCACAAGAAATCTGGATGGAGTGCAAAGCCTTGGCATTACTCTTCCTCCAAGCTTTAAATTCAACTTCATCATCTTCTTGTTCAGGGGGCTCAGTGGTGGCTTCTACAACGTCCCAAAGATCTTCTGCCAACAGATAGGTTTTAACTTGCGAACTCCATTCTTCATAGTTATTTTTGTTTAGAAGTTCATGAACAATTGGACTAGGGACAACTGTGCGTGTCATCTTCAATCTGTAAATTTATGAAATCTAAATTTATGTCGAAAAAAAGACTCGAGGCATCCCCATTATTTGTATTACAGCACTGAAGACAAAAAGTAGAGGGATTCAGCTTCAACGGGACAAAAAAAGAAAAGAGTTCAGGAAAAAGAAAAAGGAAAAGAAAAAAGAAAAAGAAAAGAGAATTATTATTATTTTTTTTTATATTCCTGTTTTTTAGTTCGATACTACCGAAACGCTTCACTAAGTCAGTTCAGCTTAGTCTAGTCTAAATCAATTCAATTTAAACCTTGAAACTAGTTCAGTCTGAGACAACAAATGCATTCTAAACACTTGGTTATGCCTAAATCGGCCCTGGTAAAACCATTTCAAGTTTAATAGAAGGTTTTTTCATTTAAAATAGTCTTTGAGATTAACATAACTTGTCACTTTGGTCATTGTGATTTGAAATCGATAAAAGTGATCCCTGAGTTTGTCTACCATCAATCATTGCGGTCATTCTGACTAATGGAGATTTTTTACTAACATGATTGATGGTGGACAAATATGGCGGAATGCGACGATGGCATTGCGCGGGAATTGAGCATTCTCTTCGAGTCCCATCTCCTTTGTTTGTACCTTAAAGACTCACATCACTCAATTTCACACCAATTTGACACTAAAGTTTCCTAATTTAATTTCAAATTGGAAAATAAATGGGAAATTATACAAACCAGGTGGTGAAGAACTTGAGGAACTAAGCGAGAATGTAGGCGAGGAACGCAGCGATGAGAGCGAAGTTCAATGGGATCGACGACAAAGACGACGTCGTCGCATCCGCATCCATCATCACCTCGTCCATTCTCTCTCACGACTCATGAGCAAGACTGTGGAAACTAGAAAAGAGGAAAAGAGGAGGAGTATGAGGCGACTGGGCCCCACAGCTGGGTTCAATCAGGTGAAAGTGGCTGCTGGATTTTTTTTTTCTCTTACTTTATTTTTATTTTTTTTATGTTTATGAATGCGGTGGATTTGGTAAGAAGCAAGAAATATAGAATTTTGAAATTTTGATTCACTGTGGAAGAAGCAAAGTAATTTCCATGGAACAAGAATTTCTCTTCATCCTTCACAAGTAAAGTGCTTATTCTATCCCTTCTTGGGTAAATTACACATAACTCAGAAGTTTTAATGTTAATTTTGCATTCTGAGTCTCTCTCAGAATTGTTAAGTTTTATTAAATAAGGACATACTATCAATTTAATCAACAATGAGCTAAAATGATTTGACATAAATTGAACATATTTTCGTCATTTTATTCATATTTAATGAAGATTTTTTACCAAAATGATTGATGGCGGACAAACATGACAGAATGCAACGATGGCATTCCACAGGAATCGAGCATTCTATTTGAGCCCCATCTCCTTTCTTTGTACCTTAAAAACACTCACATCACTCAATTTCACATCAATTTGACATAAAATTTCCTAATTTAATTTCAAATTGGAAAATTGAGCTGCAGAAATGTGATATTTTACGGACTAGGTGCTGACGTGCTTGAGGAACTGAGCAAGAGCGCATGTGAGGTTCGATGGGATAGACGCCGCCGTCGACGGCGAAGATGACATCATCACATCCGCAGCCGTCATCATCTCGTCCATTCTCTCGCAAGTTAGGACTGGTGAAATCTATAAAAGATGGAAAGAGGAGTATGAGTCGACTGGGCTCTGGGCCTCACAGCTGAGTCCAATCAGGAGAAAGTGCTCTTGGATATTTTTTTCTCTTACTTTTTTTTTTATAATTATGTTTTTTATTTTTATGAATGTGGTGGATTTGGTAAGACGCAAGAAATATAAAATTTTGGAATTTTGATTCACTATGGAAGAAGCAAAGTAATTTTCATGGAATAAGAAGTTCTCTTCATCCTTCACAAGCAAAGTGCTTCTTCTATCCCTTCTTCGGTACATTACACATAACTCAGAAGTTTTAATTTCAATTTTGCATTCTGATTCTTTCTTAGGAAGTTTTAAATTTTATTAAATAAGGACCAAAATGACAAAATACCATCAATTTAATAAATGCGAAATTGTACGGACCAACTAGTGAAGAGCTTGAGGAATTGAGCAAGAGCACATGCGAGGAACGCAGTGTAGAGAGCGAGGTTCGATGGGATCGACGCCACTGTTGACAGCGAAGATGGCATCGTCACATCCGTAGCCGTCTCATCACCTCATCCATTCTCTCTCATGAGTCAAGACTGGAAACTAGAAAAGACGGAAAGAGGATGAGGAGTATGAGTTGACTGCGCCCCACAACCGAGTTCAACCCGCTAATCAGAGATGAATTAGAATGGATTGTCACCATCTAATCAGGAGAAAGGGGCTGTTGGATTTTTGTTTTGTCATATTTGTCGATTTGTTCCCTAAATTTGTATAAAGATGTCAATTTTCCCACTGAACTTTAATTTTAGTTGATTATCCCAGAACTTATAATTAGTCAATTTCCTCCTTGAACTTTAATTTTAGCTACTTACCTTTGAACTTTTATAAATAGCCAATTTCTCTCATGATGATAGATTTTAGAAAGTTTCATCCAAATTTTTATCAAAATGTTGCATCCAATTTTTTATCCATTTTGATCAAGTGGATAACACATGACAACTATATGGGGGCAAAAAGAATGGAAAATTGGATGGATGAAAATTGGATGAAAAAAATGTTATGTTGGGGGGGGGGAGGGATTGGCTAGGTATAAAATTTTAGAGGGGTAATCAGCTAAAGTTAAAGTTAAGGGGAGAAATTGACTAATTATAGAAGTTCAGGGAGGTAATTGGCTAAAATTAAAGTCAACGGGAAATTGACATCTCTATACAAGTTCAGGAAGTAAACCGACAAATACGTCTTGTTTTTTTCTCTTACTTTTTTACTACTTTTTTTTTCTTCTAATGAATGCGGTGGATTTGGTAAGAAGCAAGAAATATAGAATTTTTGAGTTTTGATTCATTGTGGAAGAAGTAAAGTAATTTCCATGGAACAAGAAATTCTCTTCATCCTTCACAAGTAAAGTGCTTCTTCTATCCTTTTTGGGTACATTACACATAACTCAAAAGTTTTAAGATCAATTTTGCATTCTGATTCTCTCTCCTCCTATTTCCCAATCCCTCATATGCTCACCTTTCATTCATAGCGTGTAAAACAAGTCTTCACCTTTGAAGTAGCTTGGAATTGTTTTGAATGGCTGTGAATGAAAGGAAGGAATAGGAGGGAAGAGAATTTGGATCTGTCAATTTTAGGGTATAGGTGGGACATGACATAGCAGGGCTCGCTATTGGTGTTATGCCGCACAAAACACCCGGTCCGACAGGCCGTATGTTAGAATACCACCTCGCATTAGGTTGGATCAGTGTGTTCAGGTGGAACCAAAGATACAAGAGGTCTCATAGTTGTATGAAAGGTGCCCTATAAATGGCGTGCTAGAGCAACCCGCAGAACATAACAAACCTATTAAATTTAATTTCACTACCAATAAAATTAAGCATTGACCTCAAATCTAAAACCGAAAGGCCTTTTTTTTTTTCTTCTTCGATTGTTTCTTTACACAATGAAGATCCGAATAACTCTCTCTACAATTTCTTTACAACCTCCGAATCCAAAAATGTACAGCTAACTTCTTCTTTTTCGTCGGAAAAAATGTACAGCTAACTAAACAAAGAGTTGCAACACTCTTAAGGGATCATCTTCTGAGTATCGTCCTCGGGTATGGATGCTGATGAAGAAGAACCGCTATATTTGCTGGGCATTGGTGTATTCCTTCGAGAACTGCGTTTTGTTAGGACAACTGGGGGCTCCTTCTCAAATTCCTGGGCAGGTGCATCGTTCTCGCTGTCATCTTCACCCTTGAAAACTGGGTGGATGTACGCATTTTGAAGGAAGCCTTTCATGTTCAGATTCGGCTCTCTTGTGCGTTCTAATGTATCTTTCATCATTGCTTCCTGCAATCCACCATAAGAAAATGTTCATCACAGTCAAATCACTTCGACCAGCACAACAAAGAACAAGGTCAACCAATAGTGAATGCAACAAACCTGCAAGGGATGTCTGATGAAAGCAGGTTCGTAACGGCCTTTGCAGAATTTATGGAACCATATGGTCAACACTGGGAGTGTAATGAGCAGTGGAGTTGACTGAGCAGCTTCTTTTGTGCTTAACAATCCCATCAGCAGCAGTTGTGAGACAATTAGTGCCGTTATGATGCGCCCATGGACATCAGGCCAGAATGCCGCAGCACTTTCATACTCTTGATTATAGACGTTTATAATCTAGAATCGACCAACGAAATGCATTAGAATTGAGCAGAATTACTCAATCAAGAAATGAACATCTCAACCAAAAAATAACTAAACCCTTCTCTTGGAAAATGTCGCAACTTACCTGATGACGATAAACAACATATGCCAGGGCAAAGAATACTATTATGAAGGGAAGTAGGATTGGTGACACCACAGCATAAACAAGGCCAAGTAAGAAATATAGTTGTATTTGAGGTTCACCGGTGTTGAAACCAAGGGTTCCGGGATCCATGGCTTCTTCCCTATCCTTTTCAGTCTTCACCAAGAAGAAATTTTTCAAGTGATATATAATCAAGGGTTTCAACCTTAGAATCTCACCAGCAATTCCGGCCCACCCATCAACCATTATATAAGTGATAAAGAAGGTTGCCTTCATTGGAATTGAAACACCAATTGTCTTCGGGATCCTGCAAATAGCCAATTAATTATCAAAATTTTTTGCATCAAACAGCACTGTCGATATCAGATACAGAGCAGACGAAGCTTATATTCATGGGAACTTTAACGAAAAACTCCATGTAATGTTCATTTTAACGAAAAATCACATTTTTACTCTAAAAAGTCAATCTAGGTACTATTCACTTACAACACCTTTTTGTCCTTTTCATTAAAACTCAAAGTTTTCAAGCCCTTTTTATTAGTTTTCCTTATATTCATTGCAGTCTATCAATTTATGCACACAAGAGATGATGTCAAAACTTGATT